GCAGCAACTCCCAAGTTTTTTGAAACATATTCATTAAGGCCAGAACTTATACAAAATATTATGATATGTTTTAAACCTTTCACAGAGTAAGAAAAATTTCAAAGTCACTAAGCCGATTTGTGTTAATATTGTGGAGGAGCTAAGCAAACTACTCAACATTGTCAAAAGAAGCAACATAATTATAAAATGAGGAGCACAATTACCAAAGAAGATAATGTATGGAAAAATGAGTTTCTCGAGCTATAATAGGAATCTTGCAGTTGAAATCATGTACAACACCTAGTAAAGGTCTTACTCTCGCCTTAAACCCTTCATCTTGTTTTATTATAGATGTGTATTTAGGATCTAAAAATTACAAAGTCTTTGGCTTATTAGATTCAAGAGCCTTCAACAAATCTCTGCGGAGGCTCTTGAATGTGTAAGGATTATTGAAGACCTAATAAGATCACCATCAAAAATAGGTATCCTTTGTTGTTGATTTTAAGACTTCTTGACCAACTCAATCAAGCAAAGATCTATATCAAAATAGATCTACGAGGAGCATATAACTTAATTTGTATCAAAAAAAGGAGATGAATGGAAGACTTCTTTTCAAACTAAGTATGGACATTTTGAATATAATGTCATGCCTTTTGGATTCACAAATTCATCGATTGCTTTTCAAAATCTTATGAATGATGTTTTTTGTGAATTTCTAGATGATTTTATCATTTGTTATTTAGACTACATTCTAATCTACTCTAAGAATACATAAGAACATGAACTTCACATTTGTCGTGTATTACAAAAACTTAAAGATGTAGGATTATATGCCAAAATGAAAAAGTGTGTAGTCTACACTACTCAAGTTGACTTTTTAAGGTACATCATTTCCAATAAAGACCTTATAATGGATCCAAAGAAGGTCCAAACTACCATAGATTGGAAGATTCCAAAAACAATACAAGATGTGCAATACTTTTTGGGCTTTGCTAATTATTACCAAATCTTTATCCAAAACTTTTTTCAAGTTGTAGCTCTACTTATACGTTTGACTTGTAAAGACAAACTTGAGTGGAATAAAGAAGTCAAAGCATCGTTTGTTGCTTTGAAGAAGAAATTTATTTTTGTACCAATTTATATCGTGTCGACTTTTATGAGGCATTCTTTATAAAAACAAATGCATCAAATTTTGCCTTGGGTATAATATTGTCACAAATAGGAATAAATGACGAACTCCATCCAATATCTTTTTATTCCAAGAAACTTTTACCAGCCAAAATTAACTATGAGATCCATGATAAAGAACTTCTTGTAATTATAGATTCATTTTAAGAATGACATCATTATTTAGAAGGTAATTCAAGTCCAGTCATAATATATACAAATCACAAGAACCTCAAGTATTTCATATCTATGCATGTTTTAAATTGTCGCAAAGCTCGTTGGAGCATTTCATTATTAAGATTTGATTTCAAGATCACATATCAACTTGAAAAATAACAAGGTTTATCACATGTTCTTTCTAGATGCTCTTATCTTGCACCAAATGAAAGAAATACATCTTTTGATCAACAAAGAACAATTTTCTTGAAGCTAGAGCATTTTCATCTTCAAGCAATGAAATCAATATTGATTGTTGATTTGACCTTTGTCAAATAAATTCAATCAAATATGTCCTCTGACCCTCTTATTCATGATATCAAGAATATTTTTTCTAAGTTTCATGATGTTTCAAAGTTTGAGTTCAAGGACAACCTACTTTATTTTGAAAGATGCATATATATTTAAAAAGAAGTACATTTACATATTCTTCAAGCATGTCATGACTTTTCAGCAGTAAGACATTTTAGATACAATAAGACTTTAGAGCTTATATATAGAGATTTTTAGTGGCTGCAAATGTGAAAGGTAATAAAAGACTTTGTCTAATCATGTGACATTTGTTTAAGATCAAAAATTCCCCATCATCAATCCTATAGACTTCTCCAATTATTGCCTATACTTAAACAACCATGGTCTTTCATTTCTATGGATTTTATTATACATCTTTCAAGTTTAAGTTCATATGACTCTATATTCGTAATTGTAGATTGCTTCACCAAAATGGCACATTTTATAATATGTATAAAATCTATTTCAAGTAAAAAAATAGCTAAGCTTTTCATTGACAATATTTATCGCTATCATGGATTGTCAAAGGATATTATATCGGATAAGGAGACTCAATTTGTATCAAGATTCAAGATAACCCTATTCAAGATTTTAAAGATGGATATAAAGCTCTCTTTGGCTTTTCATCCTCAAACTGATGAGCAAACAAAACGGGTGAATCAAATTCTAGAATAGTTTTTGAAGTCTACCATCAACTATTATCAAGATGATTGGACAGCTCTTTTACGATTAACAGAGTTTGCATACAATAATTTGATACATTCTTCTACTCAACAAACACTTTTCTTTGTCAATTATGGTTATCATCCACAACTTGATACTTTTGACTTTTCAAAAGTTGATAATCTTGCGATGGAAGATTTAGCAAATCATTTGTCGAAGCTACATGCAACAATAAAGATGCAATTAAAGAAAGCTCAAGAATGAAAAAAGACTAATGTACATGCCTATCGCAATGAGCAACTCAATTCAACGTAGGTCACAAGGTATAGTTACTTCATTACAATATCAAGACTACTTGTGATTGTGATAAGTTGGACTATTGTAGGCTAGGACCTTTTCTTATTTGTAAACAAATCAATCCTATTGCTTATCAATTATATCTATAAAGATCGACCCTAGATTTCATGTGTTCCTTCTTGAGCCGTACAAGACAATGAATATCTCAAGAAGAAGACAAATATCCCATCTCCTCCTATAGAAGTAGATAATAATAAAGAATTTGAAGTGGAAGAAGTCGTAGACTCAAGGTGGTGCCAAAATAGGTTGGAACATATTGTTCATTGGCATGCATATGATATTAGTGAATATACATAGAAACCATTAAAGACATGCAAGTTAAGGCATGTAGTTAGCAAAGTCAATATGTTTTGGAGGTCCTATAGGACATTGCTACGTAACTCATAATTAAGAATATATATAGAGGCAAAAATGAAGCCTTCTTCACTCTTATCAATGTCTTTTTAGTCCTTAGTCTTGTTTCAAGACTTTCTAGTCTTCTTGTTTTTTGACAATAGCCATTCCAGTTCAATATTATATCACCTTTGAGTGACTCTCTAGTTCCTTTCAATGATATAAGAGTGTATTGAAGTTTTTCTTTCTTCAAGATTCATATCCTTGATACATGGTATAATCCATGTATCATGGATGTCGGATCTTACTTCTATAACTAGATATGAATTTAAGTTAATCCACATGCATTGAACATTTTTGTGCATGAATCTATTTCTTTTGTATAGTCAAAAAATATTCTCATGTAGAATAGTTCACTTATGTAGTAATTTTGTATATTGTAATAACTTTTTAATTCATATGGTTATTTTTACTAATATTTTTAGATTGAATATTGGTATGACTTTGAGATAGTTTTATGATATAAAAATTGTATATGAATTACACAATGTAATTGGAATTTGTAGTTCAAAATAATGGATATTTATTTGTTATTTGTTTTGTATCATAAGTAAAAGATTACATATTCACACAATAAATGAAGAAAAGAGTTAAGAAATAACTTTATTAATTGTTCAAAAATATTAAATGAGTATATTTTTCTTATCACTTAATAAAATTGAATAAAAAAAACTAATATTATATTATATTATTTTTTTACATTAATTTAAAAGATTTATATCATATGTGTGTGTATGTGTGAATATATATATATATATATATATATATATACATTTATATATTTTTACTTTAAATTATATGATTGGATTTTTTAAAATAACTTTAATTTTTTATGCATAAAATAAATAATTCCAAATCTTTATATTCAATGTTAGAATGCTTAATGATTCAAGATTACTTCAATAAGGAATATATATATATATATATATATATAGATATGCATACATACATACATATATATATATCTTTTTATTATACTTTATTCTTTCAAAGTTCATGATAGACCAATTAGTAATTCTTTGTTTGTTTTGCAATCTCTAAGCAAAAAGAAATAGACTATGTTGAAATAAATTCCATACTAGTTTTTTTTAATCTAAATGCATTTTCCAACTTTCAATAGGTAATACATTTAATTTCATAATTTATACATGTGTAGTTGTTTGATACTACACATGTAATCATTTTAAAAATTTAGAATGATTGTGTGCAAAAATAAAGAAACATCCCATGATAATTATATACACAAGCATATAAAACCTCCAAATTACAAACATGTATTTGTGAGTTTTTTACAATGGTGTATTATATCCTTAAAATATATTCATTCTTTTTATTGAAAGAAGGTGGAAGAATGTTGAGCTTTTTTCCTTCATTACTTTAAAGGAAAATATCATGGATATCCTTAAAATTTGCCAAAATATCCAGAATACCCCTCTTTTGTGATAATTGCAAATCTGCCCTTCAATATGATAAGTTATAACCTTCTTGTTTTTAGATGCAATTAGAGCCCAAAGCATGTGTTATGCAAATTTTGGCTCAACACTTGGTCTCACATCTTGGGCACCTCACAATAATGAATCTTAGAGGCTTTTTTGCCTAGAAACACAAGAAGAAATTTGACAACGAATGGTTGTCAAAACCTCAATGTCGTTAGGAACGACTGTCTCCACTGGTATCTTCTAGGGCCCATCGACACATGAAATGACTCTTGTGGCAATGTTGCCAAAATCTTTGAACTCTCCAATTTGACAATCACAGAGGAAGACAAATCGCAATCAGTGGAGCAAAGTATTCTTGATATTGTGACAAATTTCAGGGGCATTTATGATATTTTTCCTTACTTTAATACATTATTATTATTATCATTATTTTTATTTTTCTTCTTTATTGCAATGAAGTTTTGAACAGGAAGTTGAATCTGGTCACATTATACATCGTTCTAAAATGCTTTTTATTCTGATTTGATAAATCAAGCATCATGTTTGTTCAAATTAAACGAAGCTAATGTTCCCCAGAATACCCAAACAGTAATCCGATTTTTTATAAAAATAAAAAGAAAAACTACACTACCTCGCAACTCCAGGGCTACTTCTGGAGTAGATTCAGAAGAGTGTCCCTCAAGCATTTCACGTCCTCTAGAGCTGTTAACGATCCCATGTTTTTGATGCTCTTTAATACAGTCCAACTAAGCAATTGGGCCGCCAAGAAATCAAAGAGAAAGCAGTGTGCGTTAAGTGAAACATATCAAGCACCTTCAAGCGTTGAATCCACGACTCTTTCTAGCTTTTGTGTGATGACAACCTTCTTCTGACGATCCAAGGCAGACCTGAATGTGCGAGTTAAAACATCCAAATTCAAGTTAGTCTTTGCGTAGGTGTCGTGGATTCAGATCACCTACATGCAAAGGATTTCACCATGTTGTTCGCAATAGGTAGGGACATCCAAAGATGCTTTCCTGATCTGTAACGGATTAAAGAAATTACTTTATCTGAGGTTCTGGCTGTGGAAGTCTTTAAAAGTATCTTGTAAATCTTACACGTCTGTCACAACGGAATGGAAGTCATTGCTGCCTGCTGTAGAGATCACAAGGCTCTGATTTAGTGCTGATGTGTGTCGTGAAAAAAGAAACAAGGTTTAATGCGATTGGGGATTCATGGGTCAATATCGTGGCTTTGTCCTGGAGTACAACCACTGTAGCAAAAAAAATTTAAAAACCCGCCCTCTGCACACTCACTCAGCAAGTCTTTTGACGTAAACTCACGTCACGGTAGAGCTGAGTATAGGGACAAGTTGTCCCTATACACTGCACCGATCGACTTGGTCAGATCATTAATCGGAACCCAGTTCTTGAACAATAGCATGAATACCTTCGAGGCCTTATTGTCAGTGCAGCTTACCACTTTTTCCTTGAGCAGCCTAGAAGCAAGTTAAGAATAAAAAACCATCTGTGTGTTCCAAGTCTGACCTCCACGTTCCAGCCCTCGTCAACAAGATTATCTTCTGGACCATTGCAATCACATGTTCCGCGCTCCTAACATAAACAAGGACGTTTGACCCATAGTAATCTAATCCTTAAACAAAAAGTTGCCGGGTGGATTTGGTACTAGCAAATAAACAGCTGCTTTACTTGAAGGTTGAGTGCAATTACCTCAGATGCCCTGAACAAACCATTCACGTTCGATTGACCAGAATGCGATCCGGCATAAATTGAACACAAAAGTAAAGTCACCCTCGAGCTCATTCCTACACACATCATTCGCTGCTCAATGCACCCAGCACCTTTCATAGCATGGAAAATGTGGGTGATGCATTTGGTTTTGCCAAGAAGTTACCGTATGAAGAAGGCAAATCATCTGCCTGTTCCACCAGTATGACGACCAAGGTTCGAAGAGTTTGAATGGGGAACTGTAAACCTGAACATTCTTCAAAATCGCCGTGATGCATGCATGGGTTGAATCCAAGATGATTTGACTTAACAGACTCTCGCCTGTTCCCAGGAAAATATCCGCAGAATCCCGCTGCTCATGTGAAACCCTCCCTCACAACCTCCTCTGTATTTTTCGTCAAGGACGTAGTAGCAAAGATTGTTTGCAGCCCCTACAGAGATGCACAGAACCTTGTCACCATCTGCGATGAAACCCTAATTGTAACCCATTATGATCAAAGTGCAGCCTGCTCTCATTTCAAATGTCTAAACGCATTACTAAGATGTGATTCTGGACGTGTACCTCCAAGCAAATTCGAAACAAGTACATTGGAAGTATCTTCGCAGAATCGAAATTTCCATCCGCAACAATCTCGTCGAAACCACTTGGTATTTCAGCCTCACCAGACGTGGTCCCAAATGTACTGATACGATTTTCTCATGCAGACTCCTAATGCCTAATCTTAAACCTAAACATCCCTCCTCCTAAATCTCATAACCTCTATTTTCAAAAATTTCCACCACACTACCAAATGAGCTAAAACAAAAAGGTATAATTCACGACATGAGCTCTCTCGACTTCCAAGAGTCTACCAAAGGAAGCAACTCCATAACCATCCAAAATAAACCCCGCGTTCAACCTCCGCTATGATCTTCCAACAAAAGTCAATGCCACTCCGAATGAAACCTGGCATCCTAGGTCCTTCTCGAAGACGGGTAGCAACATCACCGTTGCGTCCAAAATCTCGAATTCTGCGAAAAGCCGGCAACAAATCCGCAGAAATATGGAAAAAGCTCACCAGCACGTGAGCTATCAAGACGAAATCGGCTCTAGATTTCAAGCAGCTCAGCTCGTCGAACGCAACTACACCGCAATGACCGCAACCACTGTAGAGATGGAGGTCGGTGATAATAAATGCTGGGAGCGCACCGACTACGATTTTGATGGGCAGGCAGAGGATGACGGGATTCGGTGCTGTGAATGCGGCGATTCCAAAGCTGCGCGGCGCCGAGCTCGCAAGTTCGAGGCCCTCCCGGGAAAACGAGGAGGACCAAGTGGGGCCGACGTGGACCCACTAATCCCTCCACGTGTGCAGGGCAATCGGCCCTCCAGCTTCCGAGGCCACTCCTGTGACCGAATGCATCAATTCCTGCCACGTCGGATTAATTCCATTCCTCTACTTTTACTTTACCGCGGATGGTTCCTTAAAGAGAAAATTTCAAAACTACCCCTGGAACATAAAGAATACATCCTATTCTTGATAATAGCACACATACCCCTCAATTTTGTCATAATTTTTAAATCTATCTGTGTCTGATAATTTATCACAAAATTTCCGATTTTACATTCAAATGGGCCCAAGCCGCGTGCACTGCGGCCCTTTTCTGTTGTTTTCGTCCGTTTCTGCAGTTCTCTCCCAAACATTGTGCTGTGGCTAAGGTTGCCTGCCGCGGTCCTCGCTGCCACCACCACCCTGCTCTCACCTCCCGCAGCATCCCGTCCTCCGTCGCTTCCTGCGGCTCTCTCTCCCCGCACCACAGCATCTAGTGGTTTCTCGAGTTGCAGGTAATATTCACTTAACTTTGGAACATCACAACAATTCTCAAAATCCTGAGGAGCGATACACAACTTTTGGATCTCAGGTGACACATGTATTGCAATTGATGTATCTCATTGTGATAGTTCATGTTTGCATCCTATTGTCAATGTGCCTAGCCAACTCTTGTCAATTAATGGCAGCCTCAAACTCAGAAAATTGCAAGCATCACGCCACCTGTTTCTATTGCCACAAGTAGAAACCAAGCCCTTGGAACCAGAATTAAAGCTTTCATGCATAAGCGAAACAGCTCCATTGAGGTTGAAACTGTAACCCTCATTCGGGCTGCAACCTCCGAACCAAGTGAGATTGATGGTGGCAGCACTGATATCATAGAAATGCCCTCTAACATTCCTTCTGGCTCCTTCTCAATTCAATGTCCTGGAAAAGAGGAACCCTCGTATTTTATCCCTGATCCTAGGAGAAGATCTAATGCAAAGAAATACAAGGACAGTAGCACACCGTTTTGCAAGGAGAGGGAGGCAATAATGTCCAACTCCAAAGTTAAGACGCCATACATGAGATTCTTAAGGATGAGGAAACCATGTAACATCAGCAAGATCTATTTCATTGAGAAGTCCCGTGCTGACAGAGAGGCTACCATGACTGATCACTCCGGGTACCCCAGCAGCATGGAGCATTTCTCGGAGGTGAAGGTGTGCACTGACTCTTTAAAGACAAATATGCAGCTGTTCCCTGACATGGCATACGTTGTGCACAACATCGTTCATGAGAAGACCATTATTGACAGTTGTAACGCAACCACTCAACTTCAGGATAACAGCCAAAAACAGATAGTCGGAAAGGATTTTGCAGAAAACCTCAGTTTCTCAAAATTGCAAGACGAGGTGACACTCAGACATGGGTGCAGGTCCCAGAGTGCGACAGCACCAATGCCTCCGAAGTAGTACTCTAAGAATAATTCATGGTTGGGCAATTTCAAACTCACCAAGTGGCCTAAGAAATCAAGAAAAACCATGGTTAGCGAGCAGGATCATGTTTCAGTCGACAACTTAGAACACGACCCAGCTTCATTGCCTCGGTTTGAACAAGAGTTTGTGGATCCAAGTGACACTTCCACCACCCTGTCGATTAGGAAAGAGCGCCCACAGATAGATCTGAAAACGGCTCTCCTCCAAGAGTAATCTCCTTTGACAGGATCCTTGCTTGAAAATCACCGCAGCATCCTTGCCTCCGGTCGTCCTGTCAGCGGTAGCCAATCTTGCAGACAAGATGCCAGTATTCTCATGAATGTCAACAAGTCCGATGTGGCTGAATGTCTGTTCTGCATTTTGATCATGAGCTGGTCTTTGCTGAATGAAGGAGTTCGCTGTTGATGTCGTCTCTGGTCGCACTCATTCATATCGTTATCGATCCTAGCTTCAACTAAGTTGGACACACGACTATTGTGGATATGTCTTTTACTGCGAAATATGAACACATGATGAGTTTAGTATTTTTAGAAATGTGTTATGTGATACATTTGATATGTGAATATTAGCATATAAACTGTGAATGTTTTTAGGTAACATTGCTCCAATTCAAATTGAATATTATAGGTACACTTCATCCGGATGCAATTGTATCTAAAATATAATTAAATACTTCAAAGTAAGATTATACCTCTGGTAAAATGATTTTAGGTTTACCTTCTGTTTTCCTTGTGGCATAGCTACAATGCTTTGATTGATATTGTATTTTTTTATTTTTTTATTTTTTGTCAAAATAAAATCACTCATTTATTAAAATATTATTTTGTATTCAAAAGTAACAATTGAATAAAATTTTATTATTATTATTATTAAATGAGATATATTTCTATTACTCAAAAGGATAATAATTAAACTATCCAATTAATACATTTAAATATTCAAATGTAAATTCATGCAAATCATACAAATTTTGATACCTCCTTGTTGTTTTAGAAATTAATTAATTAACTAATTATAAGTAATAATAATAATAATAATAATAATAATAAACACATACATATACACACAATATTTAACTAAGATGTGTTCAAAACATTACTAGCATATTTCAAAAACATCTTTTTGAATTATATATTTGTAAACATAACCAATGATGCTTGTACATTAAAATTTGAAAATTAAAAATTGAAAACAAAGATGGCAAAGATTAACTTTCTAAGGTTGCACAATACTAAACATGTTAAATGGGATGGTAAATTTACACAAAATCCAATGCTTTATATATAATGTTTTTATTTTTATTTTTATTTTTGTCTCTATTGCAACAATAAATATATATATATATATATATATATATAATGAATTTCAGAATGGACTATAAATCTCAACTTAAAGCCATGTTAACAAATTAAATGAATATTTATACATATACACATATTTAAGTCTTTTATTAAGCCTATTTATAAATGATATATCAAAAACAAATTGTGTATCATTTAAGATTGCCGTCATGAGGATTCTATAGAGAGTATGACAACTTTTATAGCTCTTGTTTTAGAAAAGGAGTAAATGCAATGTCTCTATCAAACAATAAAAACATTGTATTTGTTGAGCAATTATAATTTTTTGTAGGTAGCCTATAAAATACTAAATAATTTCAATACATATCTTCAAAAAGAACTGCAGTTGCATATGTGTTTGATCATGTTTTGATAAATGTGACATAATAGAAGAAAATTCAAAGTTAACTTTGAAGATTAGTTTGGTGAGTTAAAGATCAAATGCCATAAATATAGAAAGTTCAAAAAATTCAAAAGATGAAAAAGAATACAAAAAAAATTGAAAAAAAATTTAAAATAATAAAATGACAGTACTCAATTATTTTAAATGTAGTATTTTTCTAATTTAGATGGTAGGATTTAGGATATCACTATTTGAAGCACTACTGTGATATATTTTAGAATGCATGGATTTTTAACTTTAATTGTTTATAACACAAGTTTTGTCAAATTTATAGGTTTTGAACCTATATGTTACACAATAATAGAATTGCATTGAAGAGATAACTATATGTTATGAAAATCTATAAAAATATTGATATATGTAATTAAGGTTTAAGAACATTGATTAGTGTTTCACATATTCTTAAATTATTAAAAAACTTAATTTCATTGGGTGTACTAAAATTGGTTGGTTTTAGATTTGAAAGTTTCTAAAAGTATTTGTAAACGTTTAGAAATAGTTTGATTATTGTGTGTGTATTTTAAACAATCAATTTTAAATACTATCTTATATAAATATGTTATACTTGTAATATATTATAATAACATGTTGCTTGCAACAAAGAATAAGTATGTTATTAATAGATTAAAGAGACAATTGAGCAAAGCATTCTATATTCAACATCTAGGTCCTACTAAGAGAATTTTAGATATTGATATCTATAATGATTGCAGAAGATGTAGAATTTAGACATCACATAGAAGGTATATTGAAAAGGTACTAATATGCTTTTGCATTAAGAAAGAAGAAATATGTTATTTCATATTATTTTTAATATAATTTCCTAATATTAATGATGAAAGATTATGCATGTCTAGTTTCTGTATGCAAATACAATAGATAGTCTTACATATGAAATAATGTATACAATCTTGTATATTATAGATATAAATAATAAAATATATACTATTTTTTAAAATATTTAAAATAATATAGAATAAATCAATTTTAAATTTAAAAATATAGATATTATTTTAATTACATTTGATGCAAATTATAAGGAATGAAGAAATTTATTGATGTTAATTTTGTAAAAAAATTGAATAAGAAAATTTATATATTACATTGTGTCTTAAGAATGGTTTGTGGATTTATAAGTTAAAAATTTATTTTACAACATATAATAATATTTTTTATTACATAAGAAAAATATATAATAATTATAAATATAACTAAGAAGTTAATATGGTTGAAAAGACTTAGCAATAACTTTGATTTGATATAAGAACAATCATTACTATGTTATAATAAATAAGGTGTTTTATTATTTTTAAAAAAATAACATATATTATTTTAAAATAAAGCACATAGGTATTTGTCAAGAACATAAATGAAGAAAAAACTTTGAGAAGATAACACACTTTTGTGTTAGTGAAATAGAAAAAATAGATAAATCAGATATATACTTAGAATAGATAGACTTAAAAATAAATGTACTATATTTTTAATTTATATATAAAAATCTCTGGTAATCAAAATAACATGAATAACCACCAAGGCTAATAAATGTAAATAGTATCAAGTACCAAATACAAAGAGAAGTTGACAATTTTTGTTGTTGTTATGTTCAAA